CTGGGCCAGTCCATCGCAGTCGTCTGGGGGGGGGATTCCTTCGACGAGACTTGACTTGGGCAGGGGTGTGGTGGCAAGCAGCTCGGCGTGATCGCCGCGCATGTCATCCTCGTCGGTGCCGCGTCGGTGACTCTCATCAGATGGCTGGCCGGGTGTTGAGTTCATCGTCCGGTGTTTCGCCGGGCCGCCGTGCGTCTCGTGGGCAGGTTCTACGCGCGGCTTCGCACGCCTGGCGTGGGCCCCGCGGCGTGGCGCCAGCTGCCAAATACGGTGGTCGATGAGCTGATTGGATTGGTCCTCCTGTTCCCAGCGTTCAGGAGCTCGCTCAACTCCGCGGTGGCGGAGCAGGCCTCGGACGCCGCCCCCTTCGTCGGCGGAGTCTCGTTGGCCCCGCTCGAGGCGGAGGGGGCGGTCTGGCATTGGGCGCGAGCGGCCCGGCGGACAGGCGCGGTGAAGCTCAAGCCTTCTGGGTCTCCAGATCCCGATGGGCCTCTAAAGCTCCTGGGGGGCGGGGGTCGGGGATGGCCCCCGGCTCCGTTCCTGGGCCGGGTCGAAGCAGTTTGCCACCCTGCTGTGCTACTGGTTCTCGGGGCGACGACGTCAACGCGCCAGGTGCCGTCGCCTGTGGATCGCTGGCCAAGCGAGCTGTCAAGGACCCAGGCACGCATGGTGAGCGCATCCCAGTGCTCATATAATCACAGGTTGCAGATAGCGCTGACGTCCGAGGATGGTCGCCCAGCAGGGTCCCCAAAGTGATCTTCGCCATGACTGTCCAGTCGGCGCTGTTCGCAGGGTACTCTGTCCTGTCCTCTGGTGCGCGGAGCGCCCTCCATCCTGCAGATGGTCCAACAAGAGGTGCCGAGATGCGCGAGGCCAGACCGCATCCTCCCGAGGTGGCAGAGTTAATTGCTGCCTTCGAGAAGCTCTGGGGCCGGGCCGCGAGCGGGCGTCGCTCGGTCTGTGGCCGCCGACCACCCGTCTTCTATGGCGCCTTCAGCGGGCCGAGGGCACCTTCAGTGCGGTCCTGGAGCGCCGCGGATGAGTCGTCATCAGCCGCGACGTGTAGCGCGGCCCTCTCGGGGACCTCGCCGATCCTGAAGTGATCGCCCAGGAGATCGAGCTCGTCGTGGGGATCAGGCCGACGGCGGCTGCTCTAGGGCCTCCTGGCGAGACCTTCTCGCGATTCATGGACATGCGCTGGGCGGCCGTTGGGCCGCGGCAGCGCCCCGAGGAGATCTTGGGCAACGAGTGCGTGGGGGCCGGGCTCGATTGCGTCAGGGCCCTCGACCGCCAGGGCGCCCTGCGGGCGCGGAGGCAGCCTCGGCATGTGGCGGGCATCTGGAGCACCAGGGGGCCCTCGGCGCGGGGCCGCTCTGCGAGTGCGTCATGGACTGGCGGGCGCGATGCAGGCGATGGCGCAAGATCACCGCATGGAACGGGCAATGGGCGTTCCTGCCCCTGGTGGCAAAACGGTGTGACCGCGGCCATCGGCGCCTCGTCCTGGAGGGCGGCATCAAGTGAGGTGGTGGGCCGCTCGCCCCGTTTCCGATGCTCCTGGGGATCCTCTGCAGTTGGCTGGGGTTCCAGAGAAGGCCCGCTCGCGCGCCTTGGAGCGCTCTCGCGAAGGCGCGGACCGGGCGGGGCCTCCGAGTCACAGTCGAGACTGCCGCTGCTTGTCGGTATATCACCATGGTCGGCAAGGGGGGCCCGTGGCCCCAGAGCCGAGGGCCCCTTCGCCCCGGCGACGGCGTGCGCGACGCGGCGCTGCCCGACGCCGCGCCGGCCCGCTACGCGCGGCGCCTTCACGACGCGAAGGCGCCATGTTCATGGGGATCCGCCGAGAGCATTTGCTGGCGTCGAGTTCCGCTGGCCCCAGGCCCGCGGTCAACTGCGCCCAGCCTGGGCCGCGGTGATTCGCCGGCGCAGTCTCAAGCCGCATGCCTGCCGCGGTGCCCCCGGCCTTGGCCGTCGCTGCCCAGGCGCGAGGATGGGGCGGGGCAGCAGCGCGCCTGTCCCTCGCGTTCCACTCGCCGCTGCGGCCAAGCGAGATCGCGGACGCTTTCGGGCAGCATCTCGTCTTGCCTGGGGACCTGGAAGGCGACGCCAGCACGGGCGTGCTCGCGCTGCTCTCTGCCAAAACATCGGACGGAGGGCCAAAGTTTCAGAGCGTCTTGATCGACGAGAACCTGCGCTGCTGAAGTTGGTGGGGCGCCTTTCTGGCCCCCGCCAGCTCCGCGGGCCCGCCCTGGGGCTTATCCGCCCCGAGGGCCTCGCCGGCATGCATCAGAGACTCGACCTGCGCCCATGGGTCGCTGCGAGGAGGCGGGGCCATCCATCGCTGCCGCTTGTAGCAAAACCTGGGGCTGCTTCAGCGCCGTTGGTGCTGGGGGAATTCTACATCTATGCGTCGCTATCTCGAGGTGGGCGCCGCCGCCCTGCCCGTCGCCCGCGCGTGGTCTGACAGCCGACAGCGTGTCCAACAGCTTGCTCAACTCGCTCCAGCTGCACGGGGTTTTGGGTGAGAGTGTCACCGACGCACCCAGGGGGCAATGCGCATTACAGACACGCGGCAGAGATAGTAAGGTTGGGACAGGTTGAGACCTCTCTGGCGTTGGGGCTTTGTCAGGCCGCGCGCCGGAACCAGCGAGGCTGCGCCCCGATGCCCCTGGCCGCCCTTTGGCCAGCCTATTCTTCGCAAACTTCACGCGTGGGGTCCTTAGGAAAACGAGCGTCGAATATCATGTGAGCATAGCGGCTCTGTGAGACCGCGCGGCAGAACCAGCGAAGCTGCGCCCCGACGCCCCTTGGCCAAACTTCACACATGGGGTGCTTTGGAAAACTAACTTCGGAGATGATGGTGGTGATGCTGATGCTTCTGGCGGTAGCAATGGTATTGCCGACATGGGTGAAGATGATGGTGATGGGGGCGCTTAGGTTTATGAGGATGCTGAAGGCGGCAATGATGATGAATCTGTCGGCGACGGTGTTGCTTTCGAGGTTCTGGATCTCGTCGATGGTGGTGATGCTGATGCTGGCGGTGATGCTGACGGTGGGGAAACGATGGATGGATATGTAATGGGCAGGGCGCCGCGTATGATGAGGACAGGGGTGATGAGGCGTTTGCATATTTGTACTGTTTCCGCCCAGGAGGCCTTTGGGGACCGCTTGCCAGTGAGGCGGGAAAAGGGATGAACCCCGTGCGTGTTGGGAATCGTTCAGGGGTGGCATATCTCCCCTTTTCCCCCCTTTCTCGTTTTCGTAACATCGTATCCTTTCTCCGTGTTTTCTCTCCTTTTACTCTCTCCTTCTCCAGTTTTCTTCCCCTTCGTCCCTTCTCCGCGGTGCTCCCTTGCTGCTGCTGCTACTGCTTCTGCTGCTGCTGCTCCTCCTTCGCGCCTGCTGGGGGAGGGGGGCAGGAAAAGGACGCGAACGCTGGGGCATTCCTCCTGCATGGGGAGTTGCAGGGGGGGTGGCGGAGGAGGAGGAAGAGGAAGAGGAGGAGAAGGAGGAGAAGGAGCGAGGGGGCCCTCATAATGGGGGGGGGGCTGCCCGTGGTATGGGGAGGACGGGGTGCATGAGGGGGCGGGGGGATGAGGTGGATGAGGAACACATGCATGAGACGACAGGCGGGGGCCATAGCAAGGATACTCGTACCGAGTTGGAATGAGAGAAGGAGGAAGAGGACGCTGACGAGATGCTGACGGTGACGGCAGTGATGTTGTTGATGATGCTGGTGGTGATGGCGGTGAGGGTGATGTTGTGACGATGTTGGTGATACTGTGTCTGATATGTGCGACTGTAGGTCTGATGGTGATGCTGATGGTGATGGTGGTTATGGTAATGAAGATGGTAGTGGTACTGCTTGCGATGGCCGTGATGACGTTGGTTCGTCTACCGAAGCACATGGCGTGAACGAGGATGGGGATTGCGATTCGTGTCCTGGTTTTGATGGGACATCAGATCATGATGATGGTCGCGATGCTGCGGACGACGATGAGATGGAGGATTTCTCTCAGAGCTGATGAGTACGTTTGGCTTGACACCGTATGATGGTAGTGGCAACGGTTTTCACCAATACACTGACGATGGTTCGGAGTATGAGATTTGCGAGTACGTTGAGGATGGTTGGTTACGCTGGTGATGGTAATGACGATGCCATCGGGGATGTGGACGGTGATGACGATTATGCTGGTAAGTTTGGTGTTGATGGTGAATATGCTGCTGACGGGTACTATGATAATGCTGCTGATCGTGATGGTGATGGTGACGGGGATGATGGTGATGGAGATGGTGATGGAGACGGTGATGGTGATGGTGATGGTGATGGTGGTGGTGAGGAGGAGAAGGAGGAGAAGATGGAGGAAGAGGGTGAGGAGGAGGAGGAGGAGGACGAGCTGGGAGGAGGAGGACAATGAGGAGCAGGAGGAGGAGGAGGAGGAGGAGGAGGAGGAGGAGGGAGGAGGAGGAGGAGGAAAGTAGGAGGAAGAGGAGGAGAGACAATGAGGAAGAGGGAGGAGGAAGGGGAGGAGGAGGAGGAGAAGGAGGGAAGAGAGGGAGGGAAGCCGGAGGAGGAGGAGGAGGAGGAGGAGGAGGAGAGGGACGATGCGGATGGGCGAGCTCGCCAAGTTTGCACGCTCGGCCTCCGCAGCACGATTCGGTGGCTGTCGGAACACAGGCGCGGCCGCCCCCCCGCGGAGTGGGCGCCCACCCGTGCGCGCTTGCGGGGGCCTCGCTTCGGCTGCGGAAGGGGCCATGAGATGATGATGCAGATGATGTGTTGGAGGAGGAGGAGGAGGAGGAGGAGGAGGACGAGGAGGAGGAGGAGTAGGAGGAGGAGGAGGAGGAAGAGGAGGAAGAGGGAAGGGGTAGGAGGAGAAGGATGAGGATGAGGAGGACAGGACGTGGATGCAGAGGATGGGGGGAGGATGGGGCTCCGTGGTAAGAGGTCAGTTGAGGACAGCAGCAGCTTTTCCAGGCGTGTCGGGGTGTGGCAGGCCCCCATGGCGGCGGTGGCTGGTCGCATCCGCCGCAGCGTCAGCCTCGGCGGCCTCGGCATCGCCCCGGGCCTAGCGGACTCCGATCCCCAGATCGGATCTCGATTAAATGAGGAGGAGGAGGAGGAGGAGAAGGAGGAGGACGAGGATGATGATGATGCTGATGATGATGATGATGATGATGATGCTGATGATGCTGATGATGATGATGATGATGAAGATGATGATGATGATGATGCTGATGATGACGATGATGATGATGCTGATGATGATGATGATGATGATGATGATGATGATGATGATGATGATGATGATGATGCTGATGATGATGATGATGATGATGATGCTGATGATGATGATGATGATGATGATGATGATGACGATGATGATAATGAGGAGGAGGAGGAGGAGGAGGAGGAGCAAGCGGGTGGCTGACGCCACGGGGGGAAGACGCCGCACTTGTAGCAGACCGACCTGCCCATAGTTTTCCCGTGGTTGTCCCATTGCTGTCCTATGTTTTGCGAATGCAGCCCCAATCTTACCCCACACCTGCTTATCACTCACAGGCCACAGGCTGGTCACATAGGTATCAAGCTCTAGAAGCATACGGTGTGAAGAAGTGGCAGCCGGCATGCCCAGGCCGCCCTACCAACGCACCAGGTGTTTCGACGAAGAGGGAGGGGAGGACGAGGATGTTTCGCTGCTGCGGCTGAGCAGGAGGATGAGGAGGAGCAAGAGGAGGAGGCGGAGGAGGAGGAGGAGGAGGAATTGCTTATCAAGAGAGCCAGGAGAGGAACGAGGAGGACCAGAAGGAGGGGGAGGAGGAGGAGGAGGAGGAGGAGGAGGAGGAGGAGGAGGAGGAGGAGGAGGAGGAGGAGGAGGATGGAGGAGGGCGAGGGGGACATGTCCTCCTCCCCCTCTTCCATGTCGCTGCGTCTCTCCCTCCTTCTCTTTTTGGTTCTCAGTCCTCCTCCTGCTCCTCCTCCTGCCCACCTCACTCCCCCCTCCTTCTGCGCCGTGATCTACTGACTGCCTGCGGCTCTGTGCCCTCGTCGGCGTCGTCGTTCGCAGCAGCGGGGCTGGGCTGCGCTGAAACCTCCGAGGCCCCGACAACGGCAGGGGCACCGCTGACTGTGACAGTGCTGTCGTCGTCGGTCTTAGATTCTGGCATGTGGTAGACTGTGTTCCAAAGTTGGCTCTGGAAGGTCGTGGCGTGGTCGCAGATTCTCCCAGCCTCATGTGCCCCTTGATCGTGCTGTCGGCGCATCTGGTGTCTCCCAGTTGCCCGCGCGTAGCTCCGTGCTTGAAGCTGTGCTTCATTGTTTTCCCGTGTGTGAAGCAAAGCTTGGCTTGCAGCTTCCTTGTCTCCCGTCCCCCTGCTGTTGCTGCGTTGCTCACCGTGGTCTCCCAGCTTCCTGCTCCGCCGTCTCCTCTCTCGCTCACTTTCCTGCTCCCCTCCGTTCTGCTCCTGACTCTTCCGCTTTCCTCCTTGCCACCTGTTCCCTCTCTCCGTGCTCTTGCTGCTGCTGTCCACGCATGGCAGTCAGTTTTTTTTCACCTGGTCGACCATGCCTTAAGGTTCTTTGCGTTGCTGGAGGTGGTAGATTACGCCAGAGAAAACCCAATCAGTGGATGGTTTTCGCTGAGGATATGGACCGGAAACCCTGGAACCCGGGAACCCAGAACCCACCGAAATCGGCCCGGAACCAATAACCGGGAACCCGGGAGACCGGAGCCGGGAACCCGGGAGCCCAGCATGCTACCAAAATCGGCGGGACATTTTCGCCAAATCTTTCAACTTCCGCTAAGGACGCCTTCAGTGCTAGCGCTGATTGGGCAAAAGGGCGTCGGCGCAGCGGGTCCACAAGACTGTGAGCGCACTGGCGGTGCCGTCGGGGTCCGCGGAAGTCCACCGCGGACGGGCGGCGCTTGGGGAGCGCCCTGCCGAGGACCGATCGCGAGGCACCGTGCCGAGCGTGCGCATCACGTGCACGTGTTTTAGGAGGTGCTGTCCTCCTTCTGTCCCCGTCCGCCTCTCATTCCCTCCTCCCGCTTCCCTCCTCCTCGGCCTCCTCCTCGTCCCTCTTCCTTCTGCTGGGAGCAGGCCGATCAACACGCCGATTCCGATTTCATGATCTTACTCCCCCCATCTCCCTTGGACATTTTTTGGTGTGTTTGCAGGGTTGCCAGGCAAACCATATTCCAAAAGCGACGGCCTCGTCAATCTGATCTGAGCTAGTTTGGGCCGGACGTTGTCCGCAGCGGTGGTCGTGAGTTGGTCTTCGCTTCATTGCATCGTGTAGTTTAGTGTTTCGTGCAGTTAGCGGCCGCTCTCGTGCTTGTCGCCGAGTCTTCGAGCGTAGTGCCGTACCTTCCGGTGCATGGCTGTCGTCTTAGCTGGCCACGCTTTCGAATTATTCGCTTCTCTCGTGCTCAGTCGAACAGCCAAGGCCTGAGGCGATGTCCAAGGCACCCTAAGCAGAACGACTATTTTTTTGTTGTAGACTCAGGGGCTAGTCTGTGTTCAGTGGTGCTCCTCCGCCTCCTCCTCCGCCTCCGCCTCAGCGTCCTCCTCCCTCCTGCCTCTCCTCCTTTTCCCAGTCTTTTCGCGTCGAGAATTCGAGGTTGACCGAGCGTACTTCGAAGGGGCGCAGCTCGGCCGAGCCATGGCGGCATCGTGGTATTCCCGGCTGGGTTCTTTCGAGGGCTTCGACGTCGTGGTCGAGGTGATTCTCGGGGAGGGTACCCAGCAGCTGATGTTGTTCGTGGTCCTTTTCATCGGGGTGGAGGGGGTAGCTGCGAGTTGTACTTGATTCGAAGGTTTTTGACAGGCACCAGTCACTGATGTGTGGTTCAACTTGCTCCTGGTGATCTACAGGTGTTTCGGTTGGATTCGTCGGAGGTCTTCTTCGTGGGGAGTGTAGCCGGCGGAATTGGAGGACGCTGTGTGGCTCGGCCGCCCCTGGGTGGAAGCGGCATGCTGCTGATCTCCGTCTACTACTTCGCCTGAATGGGAGGGGGGGCGGGCGGGGCGGGGGCCCAGGGGGTGTTTCGGCTCGGCCGTCGTGCCCTCTGGTGCAGGGGGGGGGTCCGCCCTCCTTTCGCGGGATGCGATGGAGCATGCTCCAGTCGTTACTGCAGCCTATTGCAGCCTCCTCCTTTTCCCTGCCTCCATCCCTCCGTTGTCCCTCTTGCTCTCTGTCCCTTTTTCGCTCCTCCTCGCCCTTTCATCCCCATTCTCCTCCGTCCTCCCCTCCTTCTCCCCGCTCCTGATCCCTTCCCCCCCTCCCCACCCTCGGGCCTCTCACCCGTTCTTCCCGTCCTCCTCCTCCCTCCCATCCCCCCGCTCTTGTTCCCCCCTCCTCCTTTTCCTTTTTCTCCTCGTCCTCCTCTTCCTCCTCCTCCTCCTTCTCCGTCTCCTCCTGAAGAGGATCGGGAGGAGGAAGGGGAGGAGAAGGAGGAGGATGAGGAGGAGGAGGAGGAGGAGGAAGACGAGGTGAAGGAGCTTCCTCGTTTCCCGCTCCCCTCCCCCGTCCTGCTCACCCCTTCCCTCCTGCTCCCTCATGCTTCTCTCCCCTTCCTCCTCTTCCTCCTCCTCCTCCTCCTCCTCCTCCTCCTCCTCCCTCGTTTCCTCCTCCTTTTCTTCCTCTTTATTCTGCTCCTCCTCCTTGCCCCTCCACCTCCTGCCACTCCTCCTCCTCCTCCTTCTCCTCCTCTGCCTCTTCCTCCCCCTCCTCCTCCTCCTCCTCCTCCTCCTCCTTCTCCTCCACCTCCTCCTCCTCCTCCTCCTCCCCCTCCCCCTCCGTAGCCATTTTGGCTCAAGATGATTTCGCCCCGTGGCAGTTCACGGAGACCCTTGGTCTAGGGACAGCTGAGGACCCAATTTCCATTCCACGCCTTCCAGCTGCCCTGCTGGTTGAGATCCGATTTGGCTCTGCATCCGCCTGCAGTAGCCTTCGGGCGCGTTCTCTCGAGGCTGGCGCGGGCCTCTGTGTGCACCCGTGGGAACGCATGCACCTCCGTCAGCAGCAGGTCCAGTTGCTGTCCTTCCCAACGGACAGGACCACGACTGGGGGCAAACGTCAGCAACATCCTTAGCATGACGGAGCAGCGAAGCTCGCAGTGCATGGCCTACCCGCTCACGCTCGAAAACAGCTCGAGGAGACCATGGCCGCCCATATCGAGGACGCCGCCGACAAGTTCGAAGCCACAGCCAGAGCCGTCACCGCCCAGGCCAGCAAACATTGTTCGTCAACATCACTCAGATCACCGCAGAGCTCAGCAAACGCCACGAAGCTACAAAACGTTCCACCACCGCCGTCCACAAGCGCAGCAACATCTTCGAGCAGCAGAGCATCGATCTCAAAACCGCCGTCGCCAAGCTGGAAGCTATTGTCCCCGCAGCCGAAGCCAGCGCACCCGCGCTCGACCTGGACGGCCTGGGCACCTGGGACCGCGACCCCGAGCCCACCACGTGCTGGCGCAGCAGTCCGCAGGAATTCTGTCAACCCGAGCTCGAACGCGCCCTCGAGGACTGGTTCGAGAAAGCAGAGGTCAACGAGAGCATGGTCATCTTCAACACAGTCGGCCCCGCCAAGCGCCACCCGTTCCAGGTCAGTGGAGGCGCCGCGGTCGCGGAGCCTCGCGCGCAGCGTCTCCGCAGTGCTCTACGCAATGGGAGAGTGTGGGGAACCTTTTCTCTCAGCCTGGCTAGTGGTTCGCGTGTTCCTCCATGTGTACCTGTCGACAAAAGCCTGAAGGCCGTGCGCGCAGATATCCAGGTCAAGCGCCTCGCAAAGATCATGCAGAACGCGAAGCCAGACACCGATCTCCGACCTCACCGGACACTGGGCTATGTGGCGAACCGTGGTGGCGTTCTGGTGCGCCTTGCTCTTGGTGGCAATGCTGACCCTCCTACTAAGCTCCAGTGGTCCGATGCGGCTGTTGACCGAGGCTTCGACGACGCCCTCCACCAGGGGGTTCAGCCCGAGCTCGAGTCCAACTTCGCAGACGCTCTCCCTGCCGCGCAGTGGCTTTAGCCTTCGCTGGAGCCCGTGGCTCTT